TTCTATATATATAGATAGATAAATAAGAGAGAGAGAGAGAGAGAGAGAGGGGGAGATCAAACTTTACCTAAAACATTGAAACCTAGGGTGGAGATCAAATATAAATAGATTAGATAGTGCTGTGTGAAACCCTCCAATGGTTGTGTATCAGTTAAGTTTCAGCCCAAGTATATATAATGGCTTCAGAAAAGGCTCTGATACCATGTGAGATCCTAGATTGACTGGAAATTGGGGTTCAGTGAGGGAGGAGACAGCAGCCAGAGAGAAGGCCAGAAATTCAGCAGTGACTTTTGGGTCCACATCCAGTTTCAGTTTTTTCTTTTTAATTATGTTTTACTGTTTATAATGACATACTGATAACATCTGTATCCTTACAGGGGACTTTTTACATATCATAAGCAACATACAATAATTTCGACAATGATGTCCCTAAACTCATACATTCTATGTACAGTAATAATAACCAAGAGATGAATGCAATAACTTCACAAGAAAAACATAGACTCACTCCTAAAATGACAGATTTTTAAAGTACGTACAGGGATATATGATCATAATCAATGGGTACAAAATTCATAAACAAGATAACATAAATTTTTCAGATCTATTCATTAAAGATAGACAATTTATCTTCCTAACTATTTGATATTTCTTCTCTTAAAGGTGTCGCCCTTTTGTTTAGATGACTGGTATTGTGATTGTTCCTTGTTCAATTAATTTTTTAACTATATTTTTACACATTAAAAAAAAATTGAAGAATTTATAAGGTACCAACTTTGGATAAGGTTGTAACTTTTCCAGGGGGAGAAGCCCTTGATACAATGCTATCATTGTCAAGCAGCAAGTATCGATATCCACGAACATGATAAGCATTTTCACCACCCCATTCTTTTGATAACTTCTCTTCAACCTTCAATATCTTCAGTGATGCCTGGTATGAAGTAGAACTGGTCTTCATAAGTATCTTGAAGGAAAAGTACTAAAGAAAATTCTAATACGCACACAAGAAAGAAAGGAGATTTATCTACTCTAGGAAACCAGAACACGCAACCAGATATAATCATGAGACTCGGTACACATCACCCAATAAGTTCCAAAATGTAATGCGATTTTAAAATTTGTGATCCCGCAATTTAAGCTCCATCATTTGGCTTTTCAATAAACCCATGGTTTGATGGATTTGTCAGAACGACAAATGAATACTAGTGAACTGCGAATCAAATAGAGCAAGACATGATATGGACTTTTTGATATGGGAAGTCTACCACAATCCAATATGACATGGAAATACTTGTAGTTCCCTAAGTCATTACTGTTCATTGCAAATGTGGACGGTGATGAAGAGGAAGAGAGAGCAAACAATGGAGTCATGTACTGTTCTGGTGGCTCCACTGCCATCCAGCAGTTCAATGGAGATGCTGAAGCAGCTGAACCTTAGTATCATTATCTTTCTATATTCCATTGGATTATAGTATACTTCCCCTTTTGAGAACTAAAGGGCATTGATTATCTAATGATGCCAGTGAGTCCATTGAACTCCTTAACATTTTCTGAAGTGATGAGGGCATCATTAGCTCAAATAGCTCGAACATAACATTTTTATTGCAAAACATTGTAGCTCAACATGATGCAGAAATGAAACAAAAACTTTCTTCAGTGACGCTGAATCCAACAATTGTTTCATCTTACCAAAGTCATTCTGTCTTGTGGAAAAAGAAACTTCAAAGACAAGGAGTGTTATTAGCATTCATAAAATAGGTTATGAGGACATGAATCACAAAATAAATCACTAGATGATATCAGAAGCTTAAAGCACATGAACAGCCACAAATTTCTCAGAATTTTATATTTAAAGACAGGCAAGAAGAGAAAAATAATGATAAGATACGGACATTTTCAAGAAGCAGCTGCTTCACAAAAGATATACCCTGCTCGCCATTTACTAATAAGCTAGTTGATATGAGGAGGATTATGGTCAGACTTTTGTGCTGGTAAACACACAGATGCATGTGTTCCTCGATCTGCTGAAGCCACACTGTTGGAGTATAAAAAATCCTGTTACCAATTTCTGAACCCCAATTTTCAGTGACAGCAAAACCATCTTCTCCTCTCCACCATTTTCCACGCTGTAGAGGCCTGGCAACATGATGTCGCTGACCCTGTCTATTAGGGGAAGTATCACGTGAAGAATGTGACACTTCTTCTGACGGAACTCCAATGTTTGCTAATATAGGATTTACAGATTCTTGAGATGCACCACTAGAACTTTTTCTCAAATAAGACCAGGAACTCGTAACAGAGGATAAAGCATTTGGTGTTAACCGAAGAAGTGCATAGTTGAATAGGTTGGCTGTGTCACCCTGACATACAAATCACAGAGAAAATCACCTCCTTACTCATCAAGAACAGGTAATAAATATAAATGTGATGGACTAGGGAAACACAGAACAGGAAAATTATATGAAAATGAGATGGGCTATAACAGTCATAAACCAGTCAGCACTGTCAATTGAGAAGAGGAATGGTGATGGAGAGAGTAAGATCTTTCAGAATAAGACATGACCCCAAAGGTGGGTCTCAATCTTTCCATCAACATCCATTGCTTCAATGAACGTGATGACCTAATGGACTATGGTTTTTTGCATAGTTCATCAGATTATAGTCTAATTTCCCTTGTACAGCATATAAATCTAAAAGGAAAAGGCAAAACCAAAAATGCATGGGGATATCACCATACAGGGGGAAGAGTGGTGGACACAAGCAGGTCATGATATAAAACAAGGGAGTGGCAAGACATATTTGCAACACAAGAAGATTCAAGAAGTCTGACAAGTGACTGCAATTAAATGAGGGAACAGTTAGTATTCATTATAAACAGCAATAGAACATGTAAATACATTTGAAAAGATTCATGGTACATCAACTATAGGCAATTTATTTTGAAATGAAACAGTCCAATCTCAATGCCGGAGGCTACTGAGAGTAAAGAAACATAAAGCACATACACAACTCAAACTTTATGAATATATTCCTTTAAAATCAAGCTATTTCCTAATTCTTAAAAACAGCTTCAAGTTAGGAATAATTAAGTCCAGGTCCTGCTGTCCTTTAAGAACATCATTTACCATGAAACCTTATTCAAACATGAAGAAAATACAAAGTGATCTCATTCAAGTGGCAACAAAGTTTTACCCAAACAGGCAAATGCCCCAGGATTTGTGTCTCAGAAACTCTTTGGAGTGGTTTGTTACTGGGTTAAAGACATTGTTGCTCACAACGGAGCCAGACAAAGCTTGAACAGTTGGCGTATAACAAAAAGCAGATTCACGCTGACACTGAATTGTAGGAGCATCTTGGTTATTTTGTTGAATAGCATGGGTATTTGTCTAGATGCCCAAAGATCACCACACTAGACAAGATATGCCGAAAAACAACCAAAATACTTATGATGCAATAGAAGCTTTAAACCCATTAAACTCATAAAGGCAGAGGTTTATCCCTCAATGAGAGCCCAATGAAACCCACACCTGCATAAGGTTTATTTATCCGCGGGCAGAGCACCATGACAGCATGCCCCAATCATACTGTTTACTCATATTGTGGATCACAAACAATGACAAAACCACAGATATCCGAAAAAGATATCATCATGCAGATTTTGAGAAATGATATCATGCTTTGAATGCGATCTATGCAGGGGCACAAAGTATCAAGCTAGAAAATCACCAAGTGTGATGGCCAACCATGTATGGGTAATTTGTGCTACTTGATGGAAATTTCTAGGACAAAATATTTATCATCAAGCATTAGTAAACCTTGAGATTTGGCTTTGGCTGAATAGTGCATCGCAAAACCTATAATGCATGGAATTCACTAAAGAAATATAAAAATGAAAAAGATGGAATAGCTTTGTCTCTCCATTCCACTGTTACAATAGAAATATCTTATTTTAAAATGTGAATGTTTAGGAGCTATCAGATGAAGAAAGATCATAGATTCAGAGAATTGACTTCTCCAGTCTAATGTGCTTCACAATCCAAATAGTGGATCATAAATGGGAACTGAGTCAACCTTTGATGACCTCACTTTGTCCTAAACAAGGTAAATCTCAGAATTACATTACCAAGAATTCTTTCTTACATTGTTGCAAAGAGTCAACACAAGAAGGAAATGCTAATATCAATTTAAGGCTAAGAGGTCATGAACTGATACAATACAATTGTCAATGACCAATGCTAACACTAGCCAACACCAGAAAAAGCAAATGCAAGTTGGGAAAAGTTTACATTTTTGCATTAATACAGGTAATAAGACAACATTCTCTAAGCGTACCTGTACTTCAATTGCCGCCTCTCGCCCCGTTGTAAGCATCTGAACAGTTCCACGCTCCCTCAGACAATCACGGGAACATGGCATCTGAAGTTTCTTCCCAACAAGAAACTCTGAGTAAAAGTAATTGAAAATCTAATCACCCAGATCACATCAAACTAAGGATTCATATGTACAATTCAGGTCTATTACATGTTAAAGCCTGCAAGAGAAATGTCATTGACGATTAAGTCCACCAAATAATCATACCTGCCAAGTAATCCATTATAAAGAAGTACAAAAGACTACGGGCAGTTCCACCTCCGGGCTGCTTCTCAAGCAAACCCCGTATAGATCCGAAAAACATAGTGAAAAGAGAATGCACTTCCTTGAGAACCCCTTGCAATGCATCACTCCGTCCAATAGCATCTGTGTCTTTGGTTTTTTCCACCACCTAAATCATAGTTAAAAATATTTCTTGTAACAACTGAGCAGACTTGATGACAAACTAATAGTTTACTAGCACAAAAAGATAATGCTGAGTTTGAAACATGAGTATGGTATATAGTGAATGGTTATTCACTATTGGAAGCCCATGGTGGCATTCTCTGATAATTGATATGACATCAGGCACACAATAAAAGTCTCATGAAAGGGTTCCAAAGCACTTATAAAGACAGTTCTTTGATCATTCTGAGCAAGTATCCAAAAGCAAGCATACAAAAACACAGTGCAGAGATGTCCTAATCTAGCTATCCAAGAAATAAAATTCTATGAAAAACTACAACTAACTGTTCAGCTAACCTCGTTTGCCAGCTAAAGCTAGGGGGCATATAATGCCCATGGATGAATCCTCTACTCACTAATTTAAGGAAAGACAGTTAAATGTCCTGAGACTTGTCTAAGAAGGGTGAGGACCTTAAACTTTCCCTTAACCTATCCCAAGCCCGGGTAAAGGAGGTGGGCTGGGTCAGGTAGGTAGCTAATGTAAAACTTCGCCAAAACTTTCCATGAATCCTAACTCTACATTATCTGCTTTTGCTAGGGCGTGCCTATAGCCCTTGATAGAGTAGAATGGCGGCCAGGATTCATGTAGCCAACCCCAAATAGTTGGGAAAAGGCTCTAATGATGATGATGGCCAGTGAAATGTCCTGAAACAGTTTTTTAATAAGCCAGCCATGGATGAGTGAGATAGCATTCATGTGCTCTAAAGGCTGAACAACATTGCCCGGGCATATAGGGATGGGACTAGCTGTCTGAAGCCATTAAGGAATGACAGCATTTACTCATGCCCAATTACTGTCACAACAAGCATTCAGTTTCTAGTTTGAAAAAGAGTAAGCATCCAAGCAACATTAATTCAATTTAAAGTATGAAAGATGTGGTTTAACAACTCCTACATCAGAGATTACAATCAACTTGATATTAAAAAATTGAGCAAAATTGCCTATTAATGTATCGTGATGAGGACTTCCACCATCTATAGGTGCTTGAGACACACAATTCATACATGTCTTTGTGTTTGTTTGCACAAACCTACAGACACAAGTCATACCGACCCAGACATTTTTTAGTATGTTCACTACCAAAAAGACAGTATTAATGTTCATTCTAAATGCATTATATACAATAACAGATTCATCAAGGCCAATCAGTTAGCAATAGAACACACACCATAATCATCCATATATCAGGCTCCGCCTGGTAAAATGTATGGGAATGTCTTTCTGCTTCTATAACTTCACAAGCAGCATCTGGAGAAAAAATCCTGGATAAAACTGCAAGTTAGCCCCTAAATCTTTTCCAGAAAAAACGAAACTCGTGCAACAAATAATTATAGGTAGAACAGAAGATATACTAGAACATGAGACATGCCTACAGAATCTATGCCATTGACAGATATAGCAGTCAGATTAGGACTTCATTAATTGTATGTTAAACATGAAGATTACACTCTGCTTAAAGGGAAAACATGAAGATTACGCTCTGCTTAAAGGGTAAACATTAAAGTCATGGAAGCAAATAAAGTGGATTGCCATCAAATCCAAGTGTTTTCTTCCACAAAAACCATTTGATCCAGCAACAGTCAAAAGATGGAGAAAATGTTATTAATCAACAATTGCCACATAATAAAGGCAACTGACAAAAAGGTGGTTTATGAGAGTAGTTTCTCTGTCTAAATGGACCTATTTGAATCAATCAAGAATGATAATCCACCAAAATGACAAAGAATATGCAGATCTAATAACTTGATTACACAAGCCTTAGTTCCATTCTTTTCTTGAGAAAGCCAGTGTCTTTTCAAGGCAAAATGTGTAAGTTATTGAAACTTGTTCAATCTCAAGATAAAAGGAAACCAAAGCATAATTTCTTTTTGATTTGGTAGGCTCAAGTACAGAAATGGTTCCATCAAATCCAAGTGTTTTCTTCCACTACAACCATTTGATCCAGCAACAGTCAAAAGATGGCGAAAATGTTATTAATCAACGATTGCTACATAATAAAGGCAACTGACAAAAAGATGGTTTATGAGAGTATTTTCTCTTTCTAAATTACTTGAATCAATCAAGAATGATAATCCACCAAAATGTGAAGAATATGCAGATCTAATAACTTGAGTAGACAAGCCTTAGTACCATTCTTTTCTTGAGAAAGCCAGGGGCTTTTCGAGCCAAAATGTGCAAGTTATTGAAACTTGCTCAATCTCAAGATAAAAGGACACCAAAGCAAAAAATCTTTTCGATTTGGTAGGCTCAAGCACAGAAATGGTTCCATAATCTAAAAAAAAAAAACTCATATTTTCCTACTTGGAAGCAGCACAGAACTTCTTTGGATCTCAATATCTACTTCTATGGTCATAAAAGCCTTCAAATGAATCAGGAGCAAATTATAGATTCATCATAATATCTTGCCTGCATTTAAATGTTCAATAATAGACGACAAAAGTCAAAAGTGGCTTCATATTAATAGAGCAAAAAACAAAAAATTTGTACTATATTAAAAGTACCTTATTGGCATATATATTACAAGTATCAATCAGAAAAAAAAGCACGAATGAGTTATCTAATCCCTATGAATCTATAAGGTACGAAATCCCTTTCAAGTTCAGCATCTATGTGGAAAAAATCAGATAATATCACAATGATTGCTTTCCATTCCCAGTACAAAAGAAATCTTTTGTAATGAATCAGCGCCATAACAGAGCAATGAGAAGCACATAAATACTATCCAAACCTTGTAAAAGTGATAAGTCCTTCGCTAAGCCCAATTACAGAGAGTTGCAATGGAAGTGGGGAATCAATAGGAAAGAAAAATAGTATCTTGTCAAGCTCTTGCCCTTCATGCTGTCCTCTTCTTAAGTCAAAAACACAGAACTGGAACCCTTCACCGACCGGAACAGGAGATGACAAACCCATCATACCTTTTACTTATACCTAGGAGATAAAAAAAATCCATTACACATATTTTTGACAGATAATTTTTCATTGGTACTCAATGAATGAATACAAAAGTTTATTACAAAAACATGCATTTAATTCAAAAAGGAAGTAATTCAGCACCAGAAAAGGTGAAAGTCTTGTCAATAGACATAAGATGCATATAATTTTCCATACCAACAACTAAACAGGATCAGAACACATTTTTACATTATAAGACATGTTAATGTACCCTGTTGTATGATGAAAAGCCATTTATTATCAAATCAACCTCACAGGTGTAATCCTCTAAAAGATAAAAGAACAAGGCTAAATTAATCACAAAAAAATTAGGTACCAAACCTTCACAGCCAAAAAATGGCATTTATCTAGTTGTTCAAATGTGCAAATTAACATAGAATGTTGGTTTCACTCAGCATCAAATTTAAGTTTGCAGTTCTACACAAGGATACGAATTGCTCATAGTTAAGCAAAAACACATCGCCTGAATGCAGAAGGATCAAATTACAAACGGATCCACTTCATAACAAGACTCTCCTACGGCATGAACATGCTAGCAGTTACCCAAAAAGATGAGAACCAAAATCTTCAGCCTTCATTCAAACAGCTAAAATTCACTTATATCAGTCTGATAAGAAGCTATATACATCACCAACATAGTTAGCATGTCTACGACTTATACACAATTGTTTCAGAAAATCTCTAAGTTTTTGAAATCTGTTAAGAACTCCGAGTTTTTCGAAAGATCTTCAAAAAGTCATGTTTTTTTAATAGAACCAATATAAATCGGTATTTCATATTTCTTCAAAAAACTTTTCCAAAAAAAACTTCTTCCCTATAATTTTATTGAAACTTCTATTTGTCTTCATTGATTTAAAATATTTGAATTTTGGTTTAGAGATAAGCACATTAAAAAGTGGGCATAAATTACGAATCTTGATGTAAGGAATAATTCAATCAAAAATATTCCTAAAAAAAATGTATTATGAAAACAGGAGCAATTTACCAAAAAAATAATCTATCAATCGTATATCTGAACATAATAGGTAGAGTAAGAGGAAAAGTAACCCAATGAAAAAACTTAACTTTCTCTAAATTCAAGGCATCATTATAAAGAACAATAGATATCAACGATAACTAAAGCTTTAGGCAGCTAGGAACTCAAGGTGAAATTCAAATATTTAAATTTGCTTGAGCATTTTGTTGCTTTCCACCTACATATGGAAATTTGACTGATTTCACCTTTTCAAATTGTTTTGTTATTTCATTGGTGTATATAACACAACATTTTATATGAGCCAATGTTTTAAATTTTTGCGTGTTTTGTGTTTTAGTTAATTGCAATCCTATACCAAGGATCATTTATGTTTTTTCCTTCTAACAATGATTCTCTACCTTGGGTTACACTTCTTGTTATTTGCAAATGTAGTTCTTGTGCTTAGTATTGTTATTTCACTGTATGCTCCCAATAAATATATAATATCTTTTGTGTCCTAACAACAAAGTAAGCATTTGTTGTTGTATATATTGAGAATTTAGACAAACATTTGTCAAGTATTACCTTAATGATACCAAGTAAAGACATTAAATTATAGTTCAATGACTTTAATGTATCCAAACAATATCAGCAGATCATAATATTATCTTGTGTCATTTTTACACATCTCATTTTTTCACTCCATTTTTTTGAGTCAAATCCAAAAGATTCATGATTCTTTAACTTACCAAATTTCTAGCAATCCGTATTTTTGACATGATTTTATTCCACCGACTTCTTGGAACAAAACCAATTTACTACCGGATGTTTTAGTTAGCCGATATATTGTTATTTCCTGACTTGCTAACTATGGTCACCAATAATAGTTTATCCACATAATGTTAAAACAAACAAAAAAAAAGGTTAGAAAAACCTAGAATGGAAACCTTCCAATGCATCAAAATGTGCAATAAAAATATCTGAAGAATGAACTCAAAGAAGGCCATCTAAACATCGAATATCCTGTCTAAGATCCCCAAGCAGTAACCCAAATCCAGCCAGACACTCCATTTTCTTTCTTGCATAAGAATTTGCTACATTAAAACAAAGAAAATATAAGGTATAATATAAAAGAAAACACTAAATCAAGTTGGGAAGAAATACCATCTCATCCATTTTCTCTAACCACCAAGTTGACTAAAGTGTTTGCAAAGCCCCCCAAAAGAGAGACGCCAAACTAATATGGAAAAAATCGCCTATCACTCTTTTATCATCAATCACTGTTGGACAACAATCATATCCAATTCTATGCATATGAATTTTGAATCATGCACCATTTATCCATGCTGATTCCTACAAAGATATGATCTCTCGTGTTCTTCCAAAAGGTTCGTATTCCGGCGCCATTATCATCAATCTCTCCTTTTTTTGGAAAAACATATCATCTAATCTCTCCTTCAACTACAAAGAAATCAATAAAATGGTTCAGAAAGGGTACTTCTTGATCTCCACATCAAGGTCCCTTCTCAAAAATGGCTAAACGAATGCACCTTCAGCTTCCCAAAAATGTAATTTAATGTTTTCATATGACCAGAATGGCAGCTACAGAGGACAACTGCACTCCCCACGTTCATCCCACCTAGACTTACGCTTACTTCAAATGCCACACATATCTCATTCTCAAAACAATCACTGGGAACACCTATGGAGTGTGAGACCAAGAATGAGAAAGTACACTTTTCAGTAGTGAATCAGCTATGGTTCCCATGTGAACGTCAATTTTGGGAGCAGAATGCCACCCAAGTGCACAATTCCTCCAACCAAGCCTTCAAAACATCCACAAACTCCAAATATCTTTCCAAGCCACCAATCATGTACCAAACATTCCTCACCTTCCATGCAATTCTTCCAGAACCTTCTCATATACATCATCCAAAACCTTATCCTTACATAATAAATGACTCATTACCTCAAGGATTCAAATCCCTGACCCTTACTGCTTCCAGGCCAAACAAAATCCCAAATATTGAGAAACTTAAGGGAAAAACATAACTCATGCAGAGTAATACGAATCATTCCCATAAAAGTATATTCATCCTCAAAATATTTCTCAAGCAAATGAACATCCAAATGAAATAAATTGGAATCCTGATGATTATTTCAACGTGTGGTTTGGTAGGGTGAATTAAAAAGCTAATCAACACACTCAAGCCACTTAACTTCTTATTGTGCTCATGACATGGGTCACGTTTCTGTTGATTTCTCCCCTTTAAGCAATGTATTGGGCTACTTTCAATAAAAAACACATGCATCCATTTCCCATCTGGAATCCAAACAAAAAGTTGTGCATATAAAACTTATAGGACACCTTTGTCATGCACATAGCAACGAAGACACTGAGATATATATGTTACACACATTGCATTAATCCACAGAAAGAAACAATGAAACAAATGAAGACAGATCAAATAAAAAAACTAAGCAGGGCTCTAAAATTTGATTGGATAGTGCAACTTTAGTTGTGAGTAAATTTTGGTCAATGAAGAGTATTTCAGCCTTCTTTAGATGGGAGCAGAAAATAGTCGATTATCAAACTCAGACTTACTGACTTCCTGGCTGAGGATATTTTTGGTACTAAACTAAGAACACAAAACAGCTCATCCCCAATAATTATGTAGTAGAAAGTATAAATTTTATGCAGCATAAGAGTAAAATATTCCATGATATAATACTTCAACTTATTCATATTCATGTGCCCATGCATAATCACATTCACTTATACATTTAACGAATCCTTTTGAAAATGAAATAAAATCATAACATGTTAGCATCACTATTATAAATGTAAATGACTCTTATCATTCTAGAAAAGGCCCTGCAATAAGGAGAGTTCAAATACCATGCTTAAACTAAAGTACAATTCACCATAAATGACCCATATCCCGGATATAAGCCATTGGTAACTCGCAAAGTTGTTATTATGGATCAATTACGATAACACTATTGAAGCATACTCATAAAAGCATATGTAATAAACTGCATCATCATTTATGGGACTTGAGAAAAACATTCCCATTTTCCATTTATGTAACAGTAGCTCATCAAAAGAGCCAAGTAAATATAACCAGGACAGACAGAGAGCAAGTATAAGCAGGACAGACAGAGATATGCAGCAAACAAGTACCAGCATTAAACAGTTAACAACATAAAACAAAAAGACAAAAAAAACAAGTACCAGCATTGACACAAGTATACCTCTAGGTGAATCAAGTAACATTCCACAATCCCTTTGAGCCTTCCACTTTTAACTTTATTAGAAGTATATGCCTTGATAGAAAAGAAGATCCATAGAAATGGATGCATCAAAATCTGTAATATGACATCGGTCAATTGCCTGATTATCGAATCCGGAACGCCCGAAGCACCTCAGCGGAACTAGTCAAATGAGATGCCCTCTTAACTGGGCAAACATGTTTTTTCATTCAGGACTCAAAATTCAAGCAGTAACCTGTGAAAATTGCAATCAAGTAATCAACAAGATCACCACATCTACTTCTTTAACATATAATTCTCCATGTCTCAAGACTTTCTTTGATCACAAAATTCTATAAATAATTTTCCCAAGAAAAAAACGAATTTGAGAGGCAACTATTCATTGGGTTTGACCATATTTTGCGATGCATTTACTAACAGATCAAATGCTAGCCAGACCTTTTCAGGGAATTCAGCATCTAAGCCACACGTTAACCAAAAATTAGCTTTTGAAACAAGGCACAAGGCCTGCAACAATGCTGATTGCTTGTGAAACCATTGAGAGATTAAACAATTGTTTGATGAAAAATTAAGATTAAATAATTAACACCTTTAAATGCCAGAACCAGAAAATGGAACAAAAACAAACTATGGCACCCTAGGCATTGCACTTTCGTAAACTCCAAGCTCAAATCTCAGTGAATTGCCAAATTGTTTGAGCAAGTAAACCACCCATAGCAAGTGTATAAACATATAAATTCACATTTCATAAACTACTACTACTCATAGGAAATACTAGAAACAAAACAACTTAGTAACTTACAATCACAGATAGTAATTATGGGACTCTAAAAGATCATTCGTTGTATTTGAGAATCGACTCGAAATGTCTAATTTCCAAACAAAAATGCCCTAAAATCATCCGCATTGCACATATTCAATTACCCATTTTTATACAGCAAACAATCGATTACAAACTCCAGATATGACACTAAGAAATCAATTGAGCTCACTCTTACACGAATTAAAACAGTGACGCAGGACCAAAAAAAAAGCAAACACAAAATGGATGAAAATGAGAATAAATTCACCTGAAATTATTAGAAACTGGTCAATACCATGAAACCCTTGCTTTCTCTCTGCTGAAATGTAATGGCGCCACACCCTTTTGCAATTGTTTTAAGGTCTTTTGTTAGGTGGAGAGAGAAGACCCCTCGTACCAAACAGCCGCGCCCATGGGTCAAAAATGTTTACCCTCAAAGATAAGCAAATATATCAATATACTCCTATAGGCGAAAGAAGGTAATGAAAAGCTTCATCCTTTTGTGAGTACACGACGAATTAGAGGGATCGCATACTATGACGCGATGAGTTATCACCGTTAAACTAATGACTCGGACGGTGATGATGAATGGTGATATGTGAAGTCCGATAGAAACCACCCTTGAACAATCGTCGTTCAATTCAACAATGTAAGGGTGATGAAACCGAGCATGTCTTCAAGTGGTTAATCATGGGAAAAGTGTTCCTATTAGATCTAATATTCTAAGTTCTAACTAAAACCAAAATTTTGGCCGTACCTATTGTTATCGAAGGTTCTCTTCCAGCCAAGTACCTAGGTATCTGTATTGGGATTGTTACAAATAGGCCAATTATCTTTGGGTGTGGTTTCTATAAGGTTGCAACCTTAAACAATCTAATTAAGGTGTACCTCCAAATATTATCATAACATGTAATTTTAGTGGAAAAATTTTTTAGGATTATCTGAAAAATTATTTTGATATCTAATTATAAAATTTTAAACTCGAAAAATGGTTAAAATCAGGTAGATCTATGAACATATAAAAATCTTGAAAATGGATGGCCTAGAAAATGTGTTACAAGATGCACTATTTCTGAGACTCATAATCTTTTTTGTTTTTATATTCATGCATCTTCATGTCGAGATAATCAATTATATGGTTTTTCAACATTAAAACAACATTTTTCCGATGATTTTTTAGGTGCATCTTTATTTCTACATTTTAATGTTGCAACCTTATGTATACACTTTCTCCATTATCTTTGTACATGGAAGTCACAATCATTCCGACTCATTAGATATCAAATTGGATGGCTTGGGATGAGTCTTAAAGTCTGATGGTTTATTTTCTTGAATCTTCGTGCCTATTCAATAACATTCTTACAACCACCCATTTTGAAATTTAAGGGATACTAATGATTGTGACTTCTATGTACAAAAGATAAAGGGTTTTGTTAGGCTACACTATTTGGTGGTGCAGAACCTTAAAGTAGTGAACATTTTTTAGCACAAAAATACACTTGAATTGTAATACAAAATTTTTCAAGTAGGGCCATTTTTTGTCATTTAGAAAGGTAGAATGGACATATTTATAAGAAAATAATGGCATTCTATTAGTAGTTAAACACAATTAATACATCTTGTAGGTGATGTCATTGTCCACTATTGTTAATAAATATTTTTGCTTATATTAAGAATTTTTAGTTTACCCTTAATAAATTACTTAAAATACCTCTAAACAAAAAGTTATTTTACTATAGGATTATCTAAATGTCTAAAAATGTTTAGCAGTTTAAGAGTCTACACGTATAGCCTAACATAACCCTTGTTAATAAATGTTTTTGTTTAAATTAAGATTTTATAGTTTACCCGTGACTAATTACTTAAAATACCTCTAAACAAAAAGTTACTTTACTATAATATAAAGTTATCTAAATGTCTAAAACTGTTGAGCACTTTAAGAGTCTCAACAAAACCCAAAGATAAATGGTCCTTTCTAGACCCTCCCTTTTGTAATGTTATACAGATAATTACATAAGTGTTGTATCTAGTACATGTCAGTAGGTTTTTCATACTCCTAGCCAAAAAGTTTGTACGATTACGACACTTATGTGCAAGTAAAATTATATGTTACTCAAAAAGTTCAAATATAAAAATAAATTTATAATAAAATATATATAAATTACAATTATATCATTTAAAAAAACTATAATGAAGTCTACATATTTTTTTAGTTTCAAAATAATGCCTCTGTTGCTTCGTACTGATCATGGAATTTTGCATTTTCTATTTGAGGGCCCTTCCACACCCATGTATGTAGGACCTCAAATGATCATCATTAAATTTGGTATAGATCTCTAGAAAAGTTATCACATGGGTGTGAGACTTGACTTTTTTAGAGATCTATACCAAATTTAATGGTGATCCTTTGAGGTCCTACACACATGGGTGTGGGTCTCACATGATCATTACTCAAGTATAAAGCGTGTACTTTAGATTTAAAATTTTAGATATTGTGGATGCAAAATCCATCATTGCCATTTTTCATAAATGAGGTTCCGGTGAGGTCAAAACACTCCGAAATTGACAAGGTGTTCCCCAAAACTCTAGTGTGAAAACCAGATCCAGTGATGAAATATTGGCAAGCAAATTTATTTCCACCCTAGTGTGGAATTTGAAGCTACACAAGTGATTCAAATCTTGAGTTGAAATAGATGATCTAAAAAAATTTGTTGCGAGATAGACCATTTTATTTTATTTTATTATCCATGTCCATGATCATGGATTTTCAACCTGGGAATATTATTTCCCTACGAGATTTGAGGTGCAACTACACAAAGCCACGACTTTGTGGATTACTTTTCCCTTTCTATATAATATTAGATAATGATGTTTAGAGGGATTTAAACTGACAATATTAATATAAAATGCTTGTTAAGCAAGTACTAAATTTTTATACGTGAATAGAAATTTCAAATATAATGATAAATAATCATGTTTGTGTGTGGTTTCTATAAAGTCGCAACCTTAAACAATCCAATTAAGGCGCACCTCCAATTTTTATTGTAACATGTATTTTTGGTATAAAAAATTCTTAGGATTATATGAAAATCTTTTTTTATATCTAATTATAAAATTTTAAACTCCAAAAATAGTTAAAATCAAGTACATCTATAAACATATGAAAATCTAGAAAATAGATGTTCTAGATAACGTGTTACAAGATACACTATTTCTAAGACTAAAAATCTTTTTTTCCGTTTCATATTCATACATCTCGATGTCAAGATGATCAATTAGAGGTTTTTAAAACATTAAAACAACCTTTTCCGATGGATTTTTTATGTGTATTTTTATTTCTACATTTTAAGGTTGCAACTAATATAAACTTTTTCCATCATTTTTAAAAGGATTTAAACCGACAATATTAATATAAAATGCTTGTTAAGCAGGTATTAAATACTTATATTTGAATAGAAAATTCACTTGGAAGGAAACAACTGAACTAATACTTTTACAATATTATCCAAACTTCTTATTATGTGCTTTAAGGGATTTAAACCAACAACATCAATACAAAGGGATAGTCAAGTGATGCAAATAAAATCTGTAGTTTTATTTATTCTTTAATTAGAAATAAAAAGAGAGTTAGGATATGGATAAAGTTAAGTTGGAGGAGGGAAATTTTGGTGGATGACTTTATGTTCAGTGGAAGGAGGTGGGTGAGTTGTTAAGAGGATTTAGGGGAATAGATAGGAACTAATCTTGAAAAGGTAATCTTGGTAGGAGATTTACTTAGAGATTTATGGAATAAAGACAAGGGATTTAGCTATTGGGAAGATCAACCATGATAAATTTGAGAAATATAATTGGTAGGTACGAGAGATAAAATAGAGATGATAAAAATTGAGAAATATGGATGGTAGGTACGAGAGAGAAAATAGAGAGGCAGACGTTCACAGGCGGGATGTTTTTAAAGGGACAGGCTTTTACGTATTTTTAGAACTTCTATCATATAAAAAAATAAAAAAATGACAATATGAAAGGTAGACGTTCACAGGCGGGACGACCACCACACACTCGACTTGTGCGCCACTGCTAACCACGAAGGGCTTAAAACTTCTATCATATAAAAAAAAATGACAATATGAAAAGGTAGATTTTCGTCGGTAGGATTCGGACACTACGCACTCTGAGACTTTTGCACTACTGCTAAACACGAAAACCTTCAATGCATGTGTTACATTTGATGTATTGTAAATAAAGTTCACTACCATGTAAAACCTTCAATGCATGTGTTACATTTGATGTATTGTAAATAAAGTGCACTACCATGTAAAACCTTCAATGCATATATTACATTTGATGTATTGTAAATAAAGTTCACTACTATGTTGTATGGTCTACTTAGTCAAAACTTGCCTCGTCTATCGGGAGAGGCCGAGTTACTCAGCCGATTCCGAGTTTTAGAACGTTAATTTATATTTTGGACATGGAGATCGCATTTGTTCTCGCTCATTAGATATCAAATTGGATTACTTGGAGCGAGTCACGGAGTTCAAGATTATTATTTTTTTGAACTGTGTGTCTATTCGATTACATTCTTACAACGACCCATTTTGAAATTTAAGGGACAAGAATGATTTTGACCTCTACGTACATAAGATAAAGAAAAATTTTTACATAGAGCCGAGGTTCTAAACAATCAAATTAGAGCCCACTTCAAAAAATTCACTATAAGAGGTTATTTTGATGCTCAAATATCTTTAAATTTATCATTTCGACCTCAAGATGCATGGATATGATAGAAAAATAGATTTCAAGTTTTGAAAATAGTGCATCTTCTAACGCATTTTTTTACTGTCAATTTTCAATATTTTTAAGCTTTAATAGATATGCTCGATCTACACTATTTTTTAAGCTTTATAATTAACTATGAAAATATATTTTAAGGCTATCACAAAGACTTCTAGTATTGAAACCACATATCTCAATATTATTGAAAGGTGCACTTTATTTTGATTGTTTAGAGCCTCGACTCTATACAAACAGCACCCAAAGATAAATGGTCTCTTTGCTGACAATTGGTTTTATTTATTCCTACTTTTTTATGCGTGTATGGATGTCTGGAGCAATTTTGTACAATGTGCTCGTTGTACATCAATTTTGTTATTACTAGGAAAATTTAACATTAACATTCAAAAAATAAAAATGAGTTAGCTGTTGAACTAATTTTCCAAATTTGATGTTTGGATCTAACTTGATTTTGTGGCACAATTGTGAAGGCAAAGGCACATTTGAAGATGAAATGGCTTGAGTAATATTGTAGAGACCACATCTTGAATTTGGCTATTTTTTCCCATGTTTTATATTTTATTAATTTTTAAATGCCAAAAAATATCTTAGAAATGCTTAATATACCCTTAGG